TTTATGGATTAAAACCAGACTCTGCATCAACTGTGTAATTTTCCATAGGAGTTTTGCCATGGATCCCCCTCCGGCATGCCACAGTCCAGGTGTTAGTCCCCTTGAAACAACTTTTCCATCACTATTGTGGCCAGAAAGAGTCCCTGTGTGTTTTAAAATTCGCCTGCCCATTGAAGTCTATGGCGGTTCGGGTGGTTCGGGCGGTTCGCCAGTTCGCGAACATTTGCGGAAGTTCGCGTTCGCCGTTCGCGAACCGAAAATTTCGGGTTCGCGACATCACTACTTACTATTTCTGAAAAGAGGACTTTTATCATTATATGTGTCCTCACTGTGTTGAAACATTCACTAAGAAGCGAAAGTATGAGGAATAACTGATTCAGCTGTTGTTGATTAACCCTATTCACTACCACTAACCTTGTGTTTGAAAAAGTAATAATACATGTATATGACAAATGTACAAATTAAAATTGTGCAAATTGACACCATTTTTATTTTCCAATTACTCTTCCAGTTTTTATAAAAATAATTGAGAAATGAAAAGCTTTAGGCAGTATAAAGTGTCCTTGCAATATTTCACACAGGGTTTGAAATGTTACTACAAAACCAAAAATGGGATCTTTTTCTCACCTACAGTAGTTGTGACAAAAATGGATATATAAAAATGGTCAAATATCTTGCTTGTAGGTATTTGTAATGACCATGGCAAGGCATTACCAGCAGTGCATCCTACTCCTTGAATGCACTGAATTTAAATTAAATGTCTACATTTAAGCATAATGCCCACACACAATAAATAGATGTAAATCACATATGCTGTTTAAATAAATGTATTTAAAACTGCTATAGCAATCTTAATCACTCTCTGGAATGCTAATGTAATGCTAATAGTGAAATAATAGAGTGCATTCCTTCCTTCCTCCTACCTGATTGTATGAATAATATGTCCAATTGAAATGGGGTGAATAGATATTTTCAGCAGGTTTACAGACACTGTATCACTGACTAGTGGCTTTTGGCAGAAAAAAATATTTCCTCTGCATGCTAATAATCATAAATAGAGTAAGACTTTAGGGCCTAGATTTCATTCTGCAAAATAAACCAATATATAATTTAATTTAAAATTGAAGGGGTTAAATGGTTTCAGTTTGAAAGCATAAATGAACGCAAGTAAGCTGAAATATATAAAAATATTTTAAAAAGCGATTTTCATTTGTACCAATATATATATATACCCTGGCAGAAATTGTGAAATTTTTGCATTGATTTTGAAAATATGACTGATCATGCAAATTAAGGTATTTTATTGAAGGCTAGTGCTCATATGAAGCCATTTATTATTACATAGTTGTTTGGCTCCTTTTAAAATCATAATGATAACAGATATCATCCAAATGACCCTGATCAAAAGTTTACATACCCTTGAATGTTTGGCCTTGGTACAGACTCACAAGGTGACACATACAGGTTAAAAATGGCAATTAAAGGTTAATTTCCCATACCTGTGACTTTTTAAAGTGCAATTAGTGTGTGTGTATAAATAGTCAATAAGTTTGTTAGCTCTCATGTGGATGGACCGAGCAGGCTAGATACTGAGCCGTGGGGAGCAGAAAAGAACTGTCAAAAGACCTGTGTAAAAAGGTAATGGAATGGAAGATGGAAAATGATATAAAAAAATATCCAAAGCCTTGAAAATGCCAGTCAGTACTGTTCAATCACTTAATAAGAAGTGGAAAAGCCAAGGTCAGGTAGACCAAGAAAGATTTCAGCCACAACTGCCAGCAGAATTGTTCGAAATGTCCATGGGTAACCTGAGAAGAAATACAGGCTGCTCTGGAAAATAATATGGTGTTTCAAGGAGCACAATACGACGATGCTTGAAGAAAAATGAGTTGCCAAAAATAAGCATTTACTGTGCAAATGCCACAAAAAAGCTTGGTTACAATATACCCGACAACACCTTGACATGCTTCATAGCTTCTGGCACACTGTAGTTTGGAGTGACAAGACCAAAATAGAAAGTGTGAAGTATGGGCAAGGACTAGCACTTATGAATAAATGCTGAGTATACAAACATATATTGAATATGCATATATTGTGAGCAGCTAAACATTCATGTGACTTCTTACAATATCACCAACAGAATATACAAGCAAAAAAAAAAGAAGGAATGTAGCGCTTATAAAATAAATAAATGATCACCTTTTGGTTTAGTTTAGGAGGGAGTTCCCACTTTTATCATCAATTGTGTTAATATCTATAAGAGACAATCAAATATAGTGTAGATTGTACAGGTGACCCCCTATACGGACCCAGGAGCGATTTATTTCAAAGCTGGGTCCACAGCTCTCTGTTTGTGAGTGTGTATACATTTTAGAATTCTATACTATCTAACCCTGTACAATCTACACTATATTCGATTGTCTTTTATAGATATTAAGACAATTGATGAGAAAAGTGGGAACTCCCTCCTAAACTAAACCAAAAGGTGATCCTTTATTTATTATATAAGCGCTACATTCCTTTTTTTTTTTTACTTGTAAGACCAAAATAGAGCTTCATGGTCACAACCATAAGCACTGTGTTTGGAGGGGGGTCAACAAGGCCTATAGTGAAAAGAATACCATTCCCACTGTGAAGCATGGTGGTGGCTCACTGATGCTTTGGGGGTGGGGAGGGGGGGGTGAGCTCTAAAGTCATGGAGAATCTTGTGAAAATTGACGTCAAGATGAATGCAGCATGTTATCAGAAAATACTGGCAGAGAATTTGCATTCTTCTGCATGAAGGTTGCGCATGGGACGCTCTTGGAATTTCCAGCATGATAATGACCCTAAGCACAAGGCCAAGTTGACCCTCCAGTGGTTACTGCAGAAAAAGGTGAAGGCCATCACAGTCTCCTGAGCTTAATATCATCGAGCTGACTAAATAAAAAGATACATTTGGAGGGGGAACAATATTAATTAAAAAAGAGGCTGGAAACGAGAATAGGGCATGAACCCAATGAATAGAGTATAGAAAAGTTGCACAGAGCAAAATCCAATCTGATAGCATTTAAAAAATAAGCTCCTTTATTTTTTCTGCCTTAAAAAGGATCCAATCCAATAACATCAATAAGAAATATAACATTTATTATATTAATAAATAGAAGACAAATCATAAAGTTCCAAATTGATAGTTTAAACTTAATTTGTAACTTGATGTAGCCCAACCCAAAGGATGACAGATAAATAGAACTCTAATATAACCTGTTACATAGATTGTCACTATATCAAATAATGTCCTTGGCTAGCCTAAGATTGATAGCAGAATCTTAAATATCCAATATGAGCAAGTCCTAGATCATTGGAGCAAATACATGACCATCTAGAAGGGTAGAGCTGCTAAATAGGGAAAGCTCAAAATCTATTTAAAATCAAATAAAAAGAAAAATAAGAAGCAAAGGGGGAGGGGAGGTGAATGAGAAAAGAGGAATATAGGAAAGGGGGAACTATACCAATAGATCTATGAGTTTAATTCCTAGTCTGTGCCTTCGAGGGCACCTATCCTTAGATCACTTGCCCCTTTGTTCTTACTGCATCCTAAGGCTACTAATCCAAAAACAGCTTAGGTAGAAAATAATATATAATGGAAAAGAGAGAGAAGAATAAATATGGTAAAATAAATAAAAAATAAATAACAAAGGCAGGATAAATCTCTATGTGTGATCCAATCTAGTAAATATCTGCAGGAGGTGTATTTTAGTGCACAGCATCACCCCATATCGGCACGACCACACACAGAGTCTATGAAAGCCCCAATGCACGTTTCGCTGAATACAAGTTAGGTAAAATGGCTTTCAGCGAATACTAGTTATGCAAAAGTTTTTTGCCTGAAGTTACTATTTACCTAGCATATATATATATATATATATATATATATATATATATATATATATATATAAATATGTAATGGTGGGAGCCTGAAGTTGTAGGAAGGGCTAGTTCGGCTATTTATAGGGCTCCCTTCCTCTCTACAGCAATCGCATCATGATCAGCATATTACGTATCCAATTCTCCACTCCCAATTTCAGAACTAATTTTCTTTACAAATTTCATAGGCGGGTCCTCTTTATTTTACATGCACACCACAACCGACTTACACACTACTTTTATGTTTCGTTATGCTACATTATGCAAGATTACCAGCCTCTTGTGTCCCGACCACAAATATAAATATATACACATATATATACATATTTAAAAAGATAGATAGATTCATCCTAAATCTGAATGCACATGTCTGACATATATAAATAAAAACAGAGCATAGGTGGTTTTCAATGTTTTATCAAGGCTTTAGATTTCAGTAAAGTGACAGTTCCCCTTAAAAAAAAATTATAATTAGACTGAAGACTGTCTTATCTTTTTTCCCAAACTCCTGTATGGTGCTGAAACCCACAGGAACTTTGCATTTGTGCGCAAGATATATTTAGCTGAACATCACTCCATGCTGTCTTCTTCCTTGCACAGCATGTCGCCCTGGACAAGATATAGGGTCTGCACATGCAACTGCCCTGCCCCTAAATGAGACACTCCACCACCCAGAGTTCTTTAAAGTGCACTGCAACACCCTTAGACGCAGTCTTGTCATACCGATGGCATAGCACTAAAGCCTAGGAAGATGATATAAAATACTAAACAACTTTTCAACTAAATTGTTAGCCATTTTTTCTTTCAGAAGACATATATACAATTTCATGCCATCTAAAGTGATTATTCACTACAATGTGACCTAACTATTTAAAATGCACTTTGAATTCAATTCTAACAATGGCATTGACAGGTCCCCTTTCACACCTTTCACCAAGATGGTAAGTTATATATGTCATAAAATTCATAAACTATCCTGTCAACACTGTAATAGAAAATATTGGAATAGTTTGATTTTGCAGTACTCTGTAGTAATTTTCAACAGACACACACACACACACACACACAATTTGTGCAATAAAATATTTACTTACGTTTTCCTTTCAGATACAACATTGATTGGGGTCCCCAGTTTCCTGTGAAAACCTATTTTTAAAAAAATCAAATCAATTATAATATATATATATATATATATATATATATATATATATATATATATATATAGATAGATAGATATATATGTATATGTATGTGTATATAGCTATGTGTATATATATATATATAAACAAAATAATATGATCAAATGCATAATAACTGACTTACCTGTACTGCCGCCCTGCAATCAGTTACAAGGAGCATCACGAAAATGCCAAACACCCAGGAAATTGCCCTTTGTCTGCTCTATTAAACAAAAAAAAACAAAAAAAGAAGAATATGAAAATAATAGTTATCAGTGATGATGGCCTAATTTTCTCCAAGTGTTCTCACCATTGTTCAGGCTATTTATCTAAGGTTTCTTTGTCCTTTCATACAGAGCCAATTATGTACTTTGCAGCCCAGAATCTTTTATGTACGAAAATCGGCCTTATTCAGCTCTCTAGCGATGCAAAGACCACGCACTGTTTAATCACGTACCTGTATTTATACAGTACAAATTGTACTGTAAACACGTCACTGTACTTTACAGAGATATCCAAACACCCTTAGGCCTAATTGGATTAACATAACACATCCGGATGCAATTCTGTGCACATCTATTATCATTAATTCAAACTAACATGCCTTATTGTAGCGTTAGTGACATAATAATACCATTTGTTTTTTTAGACCTGGACAAAAAAATCCATTACGGTGGTGTATACAATCTTTGGTGCCATGGGCATTTTTTCTAATGGTCCTCAATAGACCATTCATAAGACCATAGACCATTCATAATCTATAGATGTCTTCTGTTAGAAAATATCATTTTAATGCTATAACTTTTCAAATCGTTTTTATTGAAAGATTTAAAATTTCACAATAAAATGATCAATATGAGATAAGTAAAATATTGATACAACAAACAAACCGGGGTATAATGTAATAAATAATTATCTGGAAGTAGTAAATTATTAATAAATCAAATGTAGAATAACATGGTACAAAATATCACAATGTATTATAACAGTTTGGTCAGATGGGGTCAAAACTTTAAGTTGTACTTATGTCTGATTTCTTTTTTTTTTTATATCCCATTCATATCTAAGAAGGTCAAGTGTATGGGATGGTAACCTAAGCACAATTTCACATCCTATATTTTCAAGCAATTGGTTAATAACTTCCTTAAATGACCACTATAGTGCCAAGAAAACATACTTGTTTTCCTGGCACTATACAGTTGCAATAAAAAGTATGTGAACCCTTTGGAATGATATGGATTTCTGCACAAATTGGTCATAAAATGTGATCTGATCATCATCTAAGTCACAACAATAGACAATCACAGTCTGCTTAAACTAATAACACACAAAGAATGAAATTTTGCCATGTTTTTATTGAACACACCATGTAAACATTCACAGTGCAGGTGGAAAAAGTATGTGAACCCTTGGATTTAATAACTGGTTGAACCTTCTTTGGCAGCAATAACTTCAACCAAACGTTTCCTGTAGTTGCAGATCAGACGTGCATAACGGTCAGGAGTAATTCTTGACCATTCCTCTTTACAGAACTGTTTCAGTCCAGCAATATTCTTGGGATGTCTGGTGTGAATCGCTTTCTTGAGGTCATGCCACAGCATCTCAATCGAGTTGAGGTCAGGACTCTGACTGGGTCACTTCAGAAGGCGTATTTACTTCTGTTTAAGCCATTCTGTTGTTGATTTACTTCTATGCTTTGGGTCATTGTCCTGTTGCAACACCCATCTTCTGTTGAGCTTCAGTTCTCCTGCAAAATGTTTTGATAAGATTGGGAATTAATTTTTCCTTCGATGATAGCAATCCGTCCAGGCCCTGATGCAGCAAAGCAGCCCCAAACCATGATGCCCCCACCACCATACTTCACAGTTGGGATGAGGTTTTGATGTTGGTGTGCTGTGCCTTTTTTCGCCACACATAGTGTTGTGTGTTTCTTCCAAACAACTCAACTTTGGTTTCATCTGTCCACAGAATATTTTGCCAGTACTGCTGTGGAACATCTAGGTGCTCTTGTGCAAACTGTAAACATGCAGCAATGTTTTGTTTGGACAGCAGTGGCTTCCTCTGTGGTATCCTCCCATGAAATCCATTCTTGTTTAGTGTTTTACGTATTGTAGATTCGCTAACAGGGATGTTAGCATTTGCCAGTGACTTTTGTAAGTCTTTAGCTGACACTCTAGGATTCTTCTTCACCTCATTGAGCAGTCTGCGCTGTGCTCTTGCAGTCATCTTTACAGGACGGCCACTCCTAGGGAGAGTAGCAGCAGTGCTGAACTTTCTCCATTTATAGACAATTTGTCTTACCGTGGACTGATGAACAGCAAGGCTTTTGGAGATACTTTTATAACTTTTCCCATGTGTTCACCACTATCCCTTCCATACCGGGGAGGGGAGAAGGCGATAGTAACTGCTCTATACTTTGATTGTAAGGTAAATTAAAGCAAAATCTTGATGAATACTAATGGAAAAACTGCAGATTTTAGTATGCCTCGAAAAAAAGAATGGACTAGTGCCAATATACTAAGTAACAAACAAGTTATCATTTTGTGACAAATAAGTTTTAAATAAAGCTGAAATAAACATAACGTACCCATTTCTATTGTTCTGATAATATCCGTGTCCCAAGCATGATATATCAGTACTCATCAGACTAGGGAAGAGAGGGATCAAAGATCAAACCATTAAAAGGTATAATTCAATTTTCACAGGTGTCAATAACGTAATATGGTGTACATTAACTAGCTTAACCTAAATAGTGTCCACCAGGCCACAACTTAGATACAGTACTATGCTCCCATCTTAAAGGGGCACTTATAGGCACCCAGACTACTTCATCTAATTGAAGTGGTCTAGGTGCAATGTCCCTGTCCCCTTAACCCTGTAATGTTAATTATTGCAGTTTCTAAGAAACTGCATAATTACATTGCAAGGTTGAAACGGCCTCTAGTGCTTGATAGGCGACTTTTGATCACCTAAGTAACACTGAACATCCTCATGCTCTTTGTGGGAAACTGCATCAGTAGAAACCCTATAAGAAAGCATTTCAGCAATTATTTCCTACGGGGAGGGTCTAATGTGCTCGCCACGCATGCGCATTAACCACGCACCTTGCTGGGTGACATCGGAGCACCAACCAAGCACCGGGGGAGATGGGCGCTGGAATTGGGTAAGTACAGTAAGGGTTGCCTTTCAGTGCTGGTGGGGGAAGGGTGTGGGGGAGGGGGAGAAGATTTGTATTCCTAGCACTATAGTATCCCTTTAAAACTGTAACAGTTCCAGAATAGAGATACAGTTGTGCTCAAATGTTAGAGAATTGGTAATATATGTACCATTTTTAAAGACAACATGAGTGAGCAAGCAAAACACATTTCTTTTATTTCGTATGGGATTCATATTCAACTGTAGGTTATAACAGAATGGCACAATCATAAAACAAAACATGGCAACAAAGAAAAAATTAAATGACCCCTGTTCAAAAGTCTGTATACCCTTAGTTTGTCTTGACAAAATGCCTCTAGGTCATGCAAAGTTTTTGGTCGTCTTTCATGAACCGCACGTTTGAGATCTCCCCAGAGAGGGAGATATTAAGGTCAGGAAATTGTGATGGCCACTCCAAAACCTTCACCTTTTTCTGTTGTAACCACTGGAGAGTCAAGAGGAATGGTTTTCTTTTCACTATAGGCCTTGTTGACCGCTCTCCAAACATAGCACTTATAGTTTTGACCATAAAGCTCTATTTTGGTCTTGTCGCCCCAAATTACAGTGTGCCAGAAGTTGGGAGGCGTGTCAAGGTGTTGTCAGGAACATTGTATCCGGGCATTTTGTGGCATTGGTGTAGTAAATCTTCTTTCTGATAATTTGACCATGCAGCTCATTTTTGTTCAAGTATTGTCGTATTGTGCTCCTTGAAACAACTACATAGTCTTTTCCCAGAGGAGCCTGTATTTCTCCTGAGGTTACCTATGATAAGAAATAGCTTCATATAATCACTATCCTTCAAAAAAATTATTTTTCAGTCATATTTTCAAAATCAATGGCAAAATTTCACAATTTCTGCCATAATATGCAAACATTTGAGCTCAAATGTATATATTTGCATATTGAACCAAGAAAAATTATCCATTGTGCTATATAGACAATTTGAAATATATACTGCCAAGTAATAATAAGGAGACATCCTTCCTTGGCTCCAACCTCACATGTCCTTGAAATTTCAAACCTGCAGAATACCTGTTATAACAAGCCCTCAGATGGAAAGAAAGGGCTAGGGCTATTCACGGAATTTACGTGTTCCATGGTGCATTTCCTAAACTGTCAGAAGGTCTTGCTAATATACTTAAGACCACAGGGGCAGATAAGTAAACACACTAGAATTAAAAATCTCCTATCATGGATAGTTTCTGCATTTGTTCAAACTAAAAGGTAGCCTTAATTGGGCTGCTCAGTCAAGTTAGAGTACTAGGTTTATTCTGATAATGGCTATCAACCACCATATCTCTTAAGTTACAGCCTCTCCTTGCCATCAGATAGATATTCTGAGAAACCACAGACCTTAAACATGGATCTTGAATAAGATTAGGCCAGAATTTTCTAAATATATCTTGGCTTCATTCCAACCCTGGCAGAATGGCTGGAGAGTGTTTTCCTATACACATACTTAAAGGGACACTCTGGAATCCTATAGCACTTTAGCTTGCTGAAGGTGAGAGAGGACACAGCATGGACAAGCACATTTGCCGCATAAGGCGTTAAATAGTGTCGGATGCGCGCAATGTATTTGAAATGGAAGCGGCAGGATTTGGCGATTAATTTTGCATGAGGGGTGAAGGAGAGGTTGGAGTCAAAGAGAACACCTAGGCAGCGAGACTTAGAGGAGAGGGAGTAGCAACACTTGAGGGAAGGAAGACCAGACGTTCTGTTTTGGACAGGTTCAGTTTAATGAAATGAGCAGCCATCCAGTTGGAAATAGCAGAGAGGCAGTCAGAGACACGAGTCATGAAGGGGTGGTGAGAAATCAGGGGAGGACAGATAAATTTGCATATCATCCGCATAGAAATGATACTGGAAGCCGAAGGAGCTGATGAGTTTACTAAGGGAGGCAGTGTAGATTGAGAACAATAGGGGACCAAGGACAGACCCTTGGGGAACACCAACAGAGAGGGATTTGGGAAAAGAAGAAGAGCCAGAGAAAAAAAAACTGAATCATCACTGGAAACTGTAGGAAGAGCACCAGGAGAGAGCAGTATCTCATAGACCGAGATTACGGAGGATGAGAAGAAGCTGTTGAAAATCAACAGTGTCGAAAACAGCAAAAAGGTCAAGGAGAATTAGGATAGAGTATTGATAAGATTATTGGATACTTTGGTCACATCTGTTTCAACAGAGTGACGTGCACGGAATCCAGATTGAAGCCGGTCAAGCAGAGA